TTACAAGAAATTTAATGGTGCTATTTATTTTGTATTTGGTGTAGTATTTAATGATGAAATTGACAATTAATGATTATTGCACCATTTTTTTGTAATAAACATACAAACTGTTTTTGGAAATACTGAATTGACAGCAAGGTGATCTGAATGTCTTCCACCATAACGTTTTCTATGTGCAAAACGTGCTTATGTTTGTATGTTTATTACAAAAAAATGGTGCAATAATCATTAATTGTCAATTTCATCATTAAATACTACACCAAATACAAAATAAATAGCACCATTAAATTTCTTGTAAAAAACTGGTTATTATGAAGTTATTTTAAAATTTGTAAGTTCAACTGTTTGGTTTCCTATAGCAAAAAAATAAACAAACTTCCTGTTTTATATATATACTTACACATATGTATCAATTAACCCATTTCCAGTATTAAAAATTAACAGAATGTTAGTGGAATTCTACCTAACAAAAGTAATATCATTACTAACATTAAACAATCTTTTGATAGAATTATTAAGGAAAGTGCAGGACATCTTTATGTATATTCACATTTGTGTGACAGAAATATACAGTGTAGTTGTATGACTCCAACGGTGTGATGTTTATTTTACATTATTATATTTTCATATTAATTGTTTCTTTCATAAATTACACGTTTACAGATGCTAGTTTTAACACTATGAGCTGTTGTATTCAACTTGTTTATAACTATGTTATATTTCAAGTTTGCATGTCTTGGTACAAGAAACAACCATCTCTAAGATGTTTCTTGGCACAATGAAAAGTAAAGTCTGTATTACACGTTATGGCTAACTGGTTTCTGTAACGCCATTGCCATCATCAGGATTAGTGTTTACATTGTTAGCTTAATCTATATTTAGTTTGTTTTTTAAAAAGGAACTCAACCATTAATGGTTGTAGCTAAATATAGACACTAGCCTTGATGAGGATGAGTTCATTTTTAAAAAAACAAACTATTTACTAAATATAGACTAAGCTAACACTGTAGACACTAGCCCTGATGATGGTAACTGTGTTAATGAGACTAGTTGGCTGTAACCTATTATAAAGAGTTTACCTTTTGTTGTGCCAAAAAATGTCATTTTTTTGTGTTTTTTTACTCTTAACTTAAAAAAAAATACTAATGCCCTGAAATCCTAGACTTTGAAATTAGTTAGATTTGCATGTACATATAAAATATGGCCATTATTTAAAAATTGGAAACATGAAAAATCTTTGTGAAAATTTTTAAAGTTTTGGACATGAGAGTAGAGCAAATGCATTCCAATGTGGTGTACTGTATTCTAAAACTTCATATCCTGCACAACTACACTAGGTGAGAGATGAGAGCTAACTTATGCACAAAAAAGATACTTTATAAGTAACCCATCTCCTTATAACATGATTTTCTATGTTTTTGTGTATGCACACACAACTTAGTATGCATGAATTATACAGTTACATGTATGATGCAACAAATCCAACAGTGGTTTTAATTCAGAACTTAAATAGTTGATATTGTTTTCTTTATGAAAATTTCAAAAATATTTTTCATTGAATTTGTGCTCTGTTGAAGAACATTGTTCAAAAATATGTCAAAAAGTTTTGTATTGGATACATTAATTGGTAAAGTGTGTAACTATAACATGGGCTGCCTTTATCATTACTTTATTCTTGATTTTCGGATTTTTTCTTATATACAGAGGTTGAGTATGCCATATTCAAACTATTTTGGAGCCTTGCCATTTGTTATAGTCCATGTAACTATGCTTCTTAAAAATAGCTCTACAATGTAGTTTCCATTGCAAGAGGCTTTGTTGTAAGGCTGCTGTGTCCAAATCACACCTCTCCTCCTTCCATAAGTCATTTAGTTTACAAAGATGACAGTTTCCCAGCATTTGTTTCAATAGTCCAATTGCATAGAAATCTTTAAGCACTGGTTCTGACATCTTGATTGGCATGTCTTTGTATGGAGTAGCTTGAATACCCATTTCATTCTCCAGCTGCTTGAGGTATGCAGAAGTTTAACAAATATATCCTAGAAGCAACTTGTATACACTTGTCTCTTTTTGGGATAAATATTTTTCTTGATTACATTGAGTACTCTTACCTAGAGCCCTTGTATGGCTTTTGCCACTTAACTTTGTTTTTGCTTATCACAATTGGGTTATGACTTATTGCAGATCTTTTTCTGGATGGTCGGGGCATCCCAAGTTCATCCATATTTCGTTGTTCTCCTCTGTCATTTATTACAAGGTAACCTTATCTTGGAAATTCTAGATTTCAAAAGCAATCAGTTTTTGGGAGGCATCACACTCCCTATAAAATGCCAAGCAATGTCAAAATCTATTTCTGATATATTCCATTCCACCATAACTTTATATCAGTTGTGGTTGTCATATGACATGCTGATTTGCATATTCAAAATTATTTTCATGCATAACATACTCAACCTTATGTATACATGTGTGTGTATTTGATTATATTAAATTATTTAGATTGTGAGTAAAAGTACAGTAGCATAGTCTTGTTTTTGGCTTTGCCAATTACTTTGAACATACTGGGGGTTGAATGACATCACATTCATTTAATGCATGCTGAACAATGCTAGAGCTGTCCTTGAACCTAGGTTTAGGGTGTCCCTTTAAACAATCTCCTAGTCTTCTAACGATCAATTGGACTTAAGTGCATTTACACGTTGACCAGTGGAATTCATACCCCAGTATTTTCAAAGTAATTGGTAAAGTTTATGCTATGAGTGAAGAAGATGCTTCTAATCCTTCAAGTGAAGCCTAGATTAAACAATCAGCAAACAGCTACTGAACTTTTACTCACAGTTTAGGTAAGTGATCTTTATTTAAACTTTCATGTTCAACTTTATTTTTATTTTTTTCAGAAGTGAACATATGCCTGTTTCCTATACTTCATCTGGTCCTCCAAGCTATAATGACCTTCTAGCCTCAGGAAGACTGCCACCAGATGGAACTACAGTTCATATTATATGATTCAAGTGTAGGATTTTCATATCTCAGGAAGTGTATATATATATATATTTTGAGCATCTATAAAACATGTATTTTTTTCAGTGTGTATATATGTGTGTGTGTGTATATATAATGTAGCTAAGTTGCTTTTGTAATGTGTGTAATCAGGGTTTGCAGTCGGTACCAGTTCTGGTGACTCCCACGCTCTGGAAGAGAACATGAATGTCCCTTCGTGATTGATTGCATGTTAGGTAGGTGCGTGCATGTGTGATTAACCCTTAGCATGCAGGCAGGTCAAACTACTCATGTCACGATGTTTGAGTGAGTTATATTCAAAACGTAATTAAACTACTTAATTATCATGGTATACGAACAATTTTGACATCAAACCATAGATAATAAATCAAATTTTAATATTTATATGCTTAAAAACAACCTCAAATTCCCCTATTGTGCAAATTTGAATATTTGTTCTTGAGCTGTCTCCTCTTCTGGATTTTTTTGTCCACCTCCTAGAAAACTATGAAATGTAACATAAAATATTTTCTATAATTTTGCCATTCAGAAACTACTTTCCACACCTACCTCTGACATACTCTAATTTATAATTTGTTAATAGGTTTTATAACCAATAGAAAGCTTAGATTTTAACTGATTCATTGTCATAGTTATCAAAGTATGTGGGCTTACAGATAATTGACAATTTGATTTGATGTGAAATTTCTAACTACTCAAGTCACATGATTAGAGATGCATGAATACTGGTGCTGGCGGTACCCAGTCAGTACCAGTACTGACAACCTGGTACCACCAGTACTATTGCAAACCCTGTGTGTAATATATATATATTTGTGTGTTTTTTATCGTTTAGTTTTAGGCAACCTGTAAGTTGGGATGCTTTTACTGGTTTATATGTGACTTTACATATATCGTTGGAAAGTATTTATTGTGTTGTAATTGTATTGTCAGAAAATGTTATGCCTTACTTTGTAATACCAATAACTGTTTATAAATGTATACCATCTTTTTATATTTTGTGTTTCTGGAAAAAATACAAACAATGTAATAATTCTTAAAGAACAGAAACATGCATACTTTATATAATCTGAAGGATTCTGTTTTTGAAAAACAATAATTTGTTCATGTTCATAAATATTTCATTTCTGAGTCTGATTTTCATTTTAAAACATCAACTTAGGAGAATTATCTATTGACATGTAAACCACATGTTTTATGCCTCATTTAATTTTGAAGTTTCAAGTTTAATGTAATTAAATTAGATAACAGTATACACTTATCTGTGTGCCTAGGTTAGTTACATTTCTTGTTTATGATAAAAAAAATTTGAAAACAATCACCTTAGTTTACTTTGTTGATATTTAGTTGTGCAAAATGAAAAAAAAAAGTGGGTGATCTTATGGTTATAAATGTTATGGTTTCTTATAATTGAAAATAAAAATGGAGGTGTACTTCTGGGGATTAAACTGTTAAAATGATGGTACATGTTAGCCAAACACATCAGTGACATGCAACTATCTATGTTCGCATCAATGATATTGCAGTTTATTTAACTACAGGTGTACTTACTTGGTATTGAAACATTGAACATTTTCAGCATATGATTGATATTGAATCTTTATTTTAACATATTAGTGACGATGAATCTTTACTTCAACATACCAATGATGTTAAAACTTACTTTGGATGTATTCATTATTCCTGTGATACTGCACCTTACTTTAGAATCAACAATAACATAATAATGTATATTGAACACACCACTATTATTACACCTTATTTTCAATACAAAACACAACTTATGTTGCTTTTTACATTGAAATTTAATATACATTAAACACTCCAGTTATAATTAACCTTACTTCGATAGCAAAAATGACTTTATAATACACATTGACCACACCTTTACATTACATCTTACTTAAAAACATGGAAAGTATAATTCTAAGCTTTCTATGCATCATTGATTTTGAATTCAATATCATGGCAGAACTTAATTTGCATACTTCATCAGCATTTTAATTTACAGTTGTTGATTATTAGTATGTGTAAATGTTTGTCTTGAACCTAAGCTTCTCTGTTGGGATTTGTGAATATTCTTCTGCTACTGGAGATGTGATTGTATATTTTGAAACAATGGCATTATTTTTTGCCATACAGGTGAACACATATTACAGTTACCTGTTATGGATCATTTTTATTTTGTAGATGAGGAAGGATTCGTTAGTGGGAAAAAAAATTAACAATTTTAGTTCTACTAATCACAATTAGAATAAATTCTTTTTTTTTTTAAATGAAGTATACAAAATAAGTAATCACAATATATTTAATATTGGTTTTAAAACTAATTTTTGTCATTTGTAAAAAAATAGTTGTTGTGTAATTTTACACTTTTAATCATTTATAACTATAATTTACCAATAGAAGATATGAGAAAATGTTATCCTATGTATCTGTTTTAGTACAGTAAGGATTGTTATGTGTCATTATGTTTGTGATGTACTGAAAACAGTTCACAATTTGGAAGTAGCTATTTATTTATTTATGAGAATAAAATATTTTGTTAAGTTATGTGGAAATTGAATAAACTGTTTTATTGGTTTCATAATTTTGTTTCTGAAAAATTTTCACTTGTATCTTCAGGATGGAGAGCATACATGTCAGTTATAATTTTTTCAACATTTATCAAACTTTGTAAAAAATAAATGGCTTTTTAGTTGTTTTTTTTATGGAGAAGATAAAATGTTTGATGAAATACGATACAAGTAGAATGAAAATAATTGCTGGATTTAAATCATAATAAACTGAAAATAATTTGGTATTTATTTTTTTCACATTAAAACTAAGACCTTCCTTCTCGAGTTTCTGAGAACTCAGTACAACTGTAATCAGTAACAAAAAGTAGAACTGACTTTTCTTGGATTATGAGACAAACTGTATAAAACTTATTCCTGTTTTACAGTATGCTTAGTTTTGAAAAGGTTTGCATCACTTCTGTTGGGGTTTGAAAAACATATTAAATGGTTTATATTGATTTAAATTCAATAGCATCAAATTACTTTCCCTGTGGTAAATTGGAGGTGACCACAATTGCATGAAACCCATTACAGTCTTAAATATGAATTATGTTGATTGTTTTACATATTATTAAATAACTATTATTTCTACAATATATTGAATAAACCTTTGACACTTCTGTTTGAATAAACTATAAGTATGCCTCATGACAAATGCGAGTTGACTTAAAGAGAGTTGTCCATTTTGATATAATTTGTGTTATGTAGCATTTCTCTTGCTCATTTGTACCAGATATTCCCTCTTGTATTTTCATTTTGATAAAATAAAAGCTATTGCATTATTTAATTTTTTGTTTTGTTTCATGTATGTTGGATGAAAGATTAATTTCATGTTCTTAAACGATCTGATTCCATCTTTTTGTAGTAGTTCTCAATTTGTACTGTATGTAGGATTGTGATGGCTTGTTAAGTTTCATCATGCCACATTATGTTTTTGCCTACAATAGCACATGAAAACAAACATTTTCATCTTTAATTGACTGTCTATATATATACATGTCCCAATATCTCCAAAATATTACACAAAAGCAGTTTTAACTATTGTCAGTATCCAAGATTTAAAAAAAAACAACTAAATCTTGTAACTTTGTCAATTTTCATAATTGTTTGTTTAAAACCAGGAACTAATATTTCCTTGAAGTAGTTCAAAACATGCATTTGTATTATTAGTTTTTACAGTCTGTATCTTTTGTTTAGTGTAATACAGTTTCCATTGACTTTTTATGTATACAAAGTAGTGGTAAAAAATTCAAAACTTAAAATTTGTATGTATCTCCCCATCATGCCAAATTTGGTGAAAATCCATCTACAGGGTGTGAGGTAGTGGTAAAAAACCACCTTTGTATATTCCCATTGACCCAATGAACCTCCAAACCCAATTTGGTAAAGATCCATCCACAGGAGGTGAGGTAGTGGTAAAAAATGCAAAACTGAAAATTTGTGTGTATCTCCCCATGGACCCAATGAACCTCCATATAAAATTTGGTGAAGATCCATCTACAGGGGGGTGAAGTAGTGGTAAATGAATGCCCATAAAAACCACAAAATGCAAAACTGAAAATTTGTATGTACCTCGCACAGACCTAATGAACCTCCATACCAATTTTGGTTAATATCAGTCCACACCCTGTGAAGTAGTTTCATGGACATACAACAGACAGTACTATTATATTTATAAAGATATCCACTTACTGAATAGAATGTATTGAATCATATAATTTTAATGTTGTATTTGTAATGGTCAACTTAGAAGCTTCAACAACTTTATAAATGTTTTAATGAAAGTGTTTCATAATGAAGTAATAGTTACATATGCATATCCAGCATATGTTTTGTATTCTGCGATACAGTAATAAATATATATCTCCAAGCCTAATACATAATGTTATACTTTTCTTTCTAAACCTTGATACAAACTATTGACTTTTTATATATTCAGTCACATCACAGGCTTTTATGTTTTTTTCTCCATTCATAAAA